TAGTTTTTTAAAATACCAATTTACCAATTTAGAGAGCACTCAGCTAAACTTGACTGTTAGTATCTCTGTAAAATATGACAATTAAAAGGAAAACATGGAAAACGAATAAATCCTTTAAAATATAATGCTCCATCATACTCCTCTGGATATTTATTTTTTGACTGGGAAGTACTGCATGCTATTAGAGCACTCATTACTAAAACAAAAGAAGATAAAACAAAAGAGAGAGAGATAAAGACTACACTGATCTAAGCAATTACTTCTGATTTTAGAAGAAATATAAATTCATATATATAATATCGCGCCAATACAATGGCTCAGAAAACAACTAGACATCACTAAAAGGGAGCAGAAAAAAGAATTCTTATGTTTCAGCGCTTATAGATTACATTATTTTGGTACTTTTTTGATCTTCGCGCCAGCCAAATTAGACTATGTCTGTTCTAAAAGTTCTTCGAAGTTCACAATCTTTCAATATTATGTTGCGTATCACTTTTCATCTGCTCTCTAATTCCCAAAGATTTTTCATAGGGATATATAGAAAAACGCTCTCCAAACTGAGCTATTCCGGCCGAAAGAGGTTGTTCCAAACATATAATGCATTTTGATTTAATTTTTGAAATATTTTAGTCCTACAAATTGATCTGATCTTGCTTATATCAGGGTAGTCTTTATATCTCTCTCTTTTGTTTTATCTTCTTTTGTTTTAGCAATGAGTGCTCTAATAGCATGCAGTACTTCCCAGTCAAACAAAAATATCCAGAGGAGTATGATGGAGCACTCTTTTTGGAAAAAAAAGGATTGAATACCTGATTTTAATGAGACAAGATCTCCTAAACAAGTCAGCAAAAATCAAAATTACGCTTGATAGAAAAAACCTGGTAGCTTCAAAACTCGTTCACAAGCGAAACTATTTCATCCAACATCTGCACAATCGCAACATACTCCGATCTAAATTTAAGGATTCGAATATACTTTAGAAGTGAAACCTTCTGATATGATAATGAATGAACAACTTCTAAAACAAAATGAAGTACTACATGTTATTGAAACATTGATTGCTAAATCAAAAGAAGATCATACACTGATGTAAGCAAGATTAGATCGACTCATAAGACATAAATAGTTCAAAAATTAAAACAAAATGCATTATAATGTGTGCAACAATCTCCTCCAGCCGGAATAGCTCAGTTGGGAGAGCGTTAGACTGAAGATCTAAAGGTCCCTGGTTCAATCCCGGGTTACGGCATAACTTTTTTCAAATTGTTCGTTATCTGTTTTTACTTATTGGTGAATCGTGAAAACTTTTTAAATTCTAGTATAACTAAAACATGCTCTTACTTGATGCCTGTACGACTTGAATAAGAATGGAAGCATTGGTTATCGACAACGCTGAATATTGTAGCACTGTTTGGTTTGAGAATAAAATTCAAGAGCCTAGTGGAAACCTATACGATGTGAAATAATCCACTTGGATTCGTTTCACCGAAAATTAATAGATTTATAACTCAGTCAAAATAGACGCTGACACTTCAATCCATTTTGTATGCGAAGTCTGATCCTGCAATCAATCTTAGAAAAACAATTGCGTTATTTCCTAAGATTCTTAGAAACCTCCTCAAGAAGCAAATAACTTCTAATGATTTCTAAAACGTTTATTGGTATCTAATATATATATGGCACACAGTGCCACGAGAGT